TTTGAAGTAGCAGCAAAAAAAGTGCAGGAAACTGGTTACTTTCTTTCTTCCTCTAGGAGGTGCTTTCTAAACTGCCTCCACACATGTCTTCTTAGGAATTTTACAGGCACACAACTTTCCTGTGGCTGGGTTGCCCCTGCAGGTTCAAGGAATGTGGTCATCTGTGGTAGAAACTTATGTTTCTTAAGTTATTAAACAAGAAGCAGAGAGGGACGTCCAGTTGCACACATCACAAGATCCACTAGTGTGTGCGAGCTGTGACCCTCCCCCCCCCCATTGTGTTTAACTGTAAAGGCCGTGTCTGGCGATAACGCAGTCCTCTGATGGCAGAGATAGTTCAGACGCCAGCTTAAATGTGGCTTGCTGAATTGATGTTGCCCTGTAATGATAGTTGTCTCAAACAACAGAGAGCCTACCATTTGTAGCCAAACAGGGGTGTTCCCCTTTTACCCCCTTGCTTTATTTTATTTCTACTTTTTGGATCTCTGGGAGGAAATCTGAGGAAACAGAATCAAAATCAAATACCTTAGAGCCAACCCACAATGGTCAGTTGCTATTCTATCCTCCCCTCTCATCCCTCTGCCATGCTTAGACTCCCTCCCTTCCTCCCCCTCTCCTCAACCCACCTACTTCTTTCAGCACAGTGGAAGAGTCTAATAACTGGAGGGGAATCTAATCCTTGGCACTGGATGAAAGACGAGGGTCTCCCTCCCTCCCTCTCTTTCTCACAGTCTCTTTCTCCCTCTTCATTTTTTCCATGGATGCTGGTTATGCTTGGCAGGTTCTCTCTCTCCCTCTCATTTTCCCACTCCCTCTTTCACTCAGTCTCTCCTTTTTTAACTCCTCTTCTTCCCCCTTCACCAACTTTCTTCCTCTCCATACACAGGTTAAGGTTAACGGGAGGAAGCCTCTACTGCTCACACTGGAGCGAGAGAGGAAAAGTCAGATGCTTAAAGGAATAGTTCGACATTTTGAGAAATATACTTATGCAAGCAGAGAACTAGATGAGAAGATCCATAGCCTATCACTTTCATGTTCGTACGCTACAGATGAAACTACAGCCAGCAGCCAGTTCTCTTAGCGTAGGATCAACACTGAAGACAGGAGGAAACAGCTAGCCTGGCTCTGTCCAAAGGTAAAAATTCCCCTATTAGTGCCTCTAAGGCACTCTAATTTAGAACTGTTTGTTTATTTAGTTAAAAAATGAGATATTATATGGAGTGTTAGGAGTAATGGCTTCCTGTCTTCTTGTCTTGTGTTGTCACTACTGTGAGGTTGTCAGAGAGCTGTTCCAGGCCAATAAATAAATCAAGGCTTTAGACCTTTGGACAGAACCAGGCTGGCTTTTCCCCCCTGCTTCCAGTTTAAGCTAAGCTAACCATCCGCTCACTATTGGTTCATATTTAATCTACAGACTTAAGTAGTGTCAATCTTCAAATCTAATTCTCAACAAAAAAAACAAATGAAAACAGTGAGCTGTTCTTTTGACCTGCTCTCTGAAAGGAAGGGAGCTGCTATTTTCATCTCTATTTGTTTGCGCCATGTTCTATCAGTCCAGTAAGAAAACTGTTCTATACATTTAAGTAGTGAATTATTAGATTAGATTAGATTCAGCTTTATTGTCATTACCCATGTACAAGTACAAGGCAACGAAATGCAGTTTAGCATCTAACCAGAAGTGTGCAATAACAGCAGGGAAGAGTGTGCAGTATCTACAGTCTGTACAGACAGTAATAATTTACCAATGAAATGTACAATTGATATGTACAGTAAGATATGTAGGGTGATGTACAATGTACAACAGACTGTGGGTTCAAATTACAGTAATGGCCAAGGTACATTAAGCTTATGGAACACTAGTGCAATGGGATGAGATGGAACGAAACAGTGCAGAATAAGAAGACAACAATACGTTACATTCTGATTTAATCATAGCAAATTATTAGTTCTACATTGGTGCAGTGTTTGGCACTGTCGCCTCACAGTCTGAAGGTTTCAGGCTCAAATCTCGACTGGGGTCTTTCTGTGGGGAGTTCGTGTGCTCTCCCCAGACCTGCATGGCTTTTCTCCAGGTATTCCAGATTCCTCCCACAGTCCAAAGACGTGCAGGCAGTGTTGTTTGGCAACTCTAAAGATGCTTGTAGGTGTGAATGTGAGTGCAAATGGTTGTGTCTCTGTCTGTCAGCCCTGTGTACCTGTCCAGGGTGTACCCCGCCAGGCCTTGGAGAAAAACAAGTATGAAGTGCACTAGTCATTTCACTGAGATTGGCACTAAGAGTCATTTTTAAAAGAAATAACAAAAGCTGCTAATCTAATTGGTAAACAAAGTTGTTAAGCTGTGGTTTACTTAAATGTTTACAGGTTTAAATTACTGCCAGACTTCACTTATGATATAGGCATGCACATCCGCACAGTCACACACTAACACACAGTTTTGTGACTTACTCCACTCGAACATAAACATATTGATAACCTCCAGTTTGAACCCGTCTTTAAAAATTCCATTGAAGGGGTAGGTTGCCCACTGTCCCCCTCCACCTCCTCCCCTCTTCTCCCACACAAGCTCATTATACCTTCAGCTAGACGATACCCAGACTGAGCCTGATGACACAAGGACTGTGCCAGAAACATTAAACATGACACGCTGTACCACTGTGACTGAGAATATTTTTTACTTTGCACCATATCAGTCAGTTTTCAGTAGAAAAAAGTGAAATGGAAGACGGTGGTGTTGCTGCTAAAATTTCTGAACCTTTTTTTAGCAACTTGTTAGAAATTTATACTCAGAACAAAGAAATAGAAATAGTGGTGAGTAATACCTTTAAGAAATTGAAATCAAGCTGCATGAATGTAATATAAAAATAGAAAAACAATAATCCTAGTAAATATTAAAACACCTTATAATTATGAATATGCAGTACTGAAGATTTTTGGCAAGGCACATTTATTTGTATAACACCTTTTGGCAATTCAAAGCTCTTTACATAAGACATCAAATGCATGAAGAACCACAATTCAATAAAAGTCTTGATTCAAATGAACTAAGACTTGGAGTAGAGCTCAGGTTTTCTGGGAGTTTGCTCCAGATGAAAACTGAGTTGCATCATATTCTTGTGTTTAGGTTTCTATAGATGCTCTAACTGCTGTGAATGCTTGATGTATCATCAGCTTAAAAGCCAGGATCTAATGCTGTGTTCTTTGCTGAATCGTTCATTATATGATAGAAATTAAAGTGTGCTATGTCCAATAAACTCCTAAAAGTCCCAGTTTGTTTTATGCCTTCTTTGGGAATTAATTGGATTTTGCGCTCATAAAGTCTCCCTGTGTTTTCCCTAGTCATGTTTGTGTCGCCTTATCAGAGGGAAGTCCATTACTTGTAAAAGTTTGTATGTGTGTGTGAGAGAGGGGAGGAGAAAGAGACAGAGAGCGATCTTGCTAGCTGAGCAGCCAGCTCTCTTATTGCAGTGCTGTAAAAACTCCAGACCACTGGAGTTGCCAGCCTGGAATTCACTAATGACACACGTGAGCCTCACATGAGAAGTGCAGTTTGGTGTGTGTGTGTGTTATAGTCTTACTGTTTGGATCAGAAGGCCCAATTTGTGTGTGTATGTGTGTGTAAGGCCTTATCTCATCATCAGCTGTGTTTGTGTGTGTCAGCATGTATTTAGGTACAGACATTTACACATATCACCTCCTACGTCCTCCTTCTCTTACCCACCCCCACCCCCAACCACCACACAGTCCCCACCCATGCCCCGATCTACTCTGCTCCCTAGGATTGTTGTTGTGCAAACATAACACACCTTGCCTAATCTAGGTGCTGGTTTAACCCACAACCGGGTTGTTAAAGGAAGAAGAGCCTCAACCATTCTGGCCCTTGGTGGATGAAGATGGGGTGTTTGATGGGATATGAATGGAATGGGGCCACAGGCACCTGGCTCTTTAAATCCTCTGTGTCAGTAGAGTCTCTGGAGCAAAATAATGGCATCACTCTGTGTGAGAGTTAATGTGAGCTGATAGCATGAGGGCTGGTGGGTCAAGGGTTCACAGGCTTGTGCTAGATTGACAGAGAGCTAAATGCTTTCTGCCCTGACTCGCCTCTCTGCTGCTCTCTACCTCCTCTTTAACTCAAGATCTGAAGGAGATGGTGAACGAAGTCACTGGAGGAAGTGGGCAGGGTAGCATTTGTAAGTTTGAATAAATGAGAGAAGTAACACAGTGAATGCAAATGCTCCCATACTAAGCATGAGGGGTTAGCGAAAAGATGAATGACCATGTGAATCAAACACGAGAGAACATGTGAAGGCACATGTGCATCCAAAAGGTCTGTGCAAGTGCTGTAGGTAGTAGTAATCTGCCACATACCCACTGGTTTCTTGTGCCCAATTCTTGTTTTATTCTAAATCATTTGTGGTTAATTATCTGTTTAATTAATTTGTTGAATGTGCAAACTAAAACAGACGGATATACAATGTCAGGTGTATGCAAAGAGAGACAAGTGAGCACACTGGCTGGCTTTTTCAGGTTGTATGGCCCAGGTAAACTAGATCAACTGATGTCCCTCACATGTCAGCTTACATGACAGCTTGGAGGCACAGTCAGTGATAGGTGCAATACCAAAGACGTTACATTACGTCCGGGTTGTACACAAACACTCGTCTGTGTAGACTTTGTGTTTCTCTGCTGCTGCTGTGTACATACACCCAGTGGTCGCGTTGTTTGTATTTGATTGACTTCATAAATCATGGCTTATATTAGTGATCCTGCATCAAGTTTTACTTGATAATAGATCAAAACCAAATTGTGTGGTATCACCCACCCCTAGTGAAAAAGAATGAGCAACCAAATGTTTGGCTCATGCTTCCAAAAAGACATTCTCCCTTCCTCCTCCTTCTTAACATAGTATCATTCTCCTCCCTTCATAAGGAATTATTCTTATAAAAATTTAGCACACATTCAAAAGCAGACATTCATTTTTCCACCTCTTTTCTTCCTCTCAGACACTGGTACCTCCCTCGGCTCCTCGACCTCTGATGGACATCGCTCTCACTGGTGCAGTGTTGCCTACTGGGAGCAGCGCACGCGTGTAGGTCGCCTATATCCAGCCCACGAGCCCTCACTCAGCATCTTCTATGACCTACCTCAGGGCACGGGCCTGTGCCTCAGCCAGCTCCACACCAACAGCTACCACAGCCGCCGCGATGACCACAGCAGCCACAGCACAGCGGGTCTTCCTGGACATCACAGCTATGGACGTGGAGGGAATAGCCACAGCAGCAGTGTCCAACAGATACGCCGTAAAATCGGCTTCGGCATCGTGTTGAGCCGTGAACCGGACGGAGTCTGGGTGTACAATCGCAGCCAGCACCCGGTGTTTGTGCACTCACCCACTCTGGACCCACCCACTGCTCGAGGACTGAGTGTGAAGAGGGTGATGCCAGGCTTCTCGCTCAAAGTGTTTGACTTTGAGCGCTCCAGCTGGATGGCAGGACACGGCATGAAGCCTGAGAGCCAGGAGGGGCCCTGGGACCCCCACAGTGTTCGCATAAGTTTTGCTAAAGGATGGGGCCCCTGCTACTCCAGGCAGTTCATCACCTCCTGTCCCTGCTGGCTGGAGGTGCTGCTCAACAACCACAGATAGCACACACACACAGGCTCACATGAGGTTTCCAGTAGCCTAATTGTAATCTAACTAGATTTAATATAAAATTTATATATTATCTATAAAATATATTATACATGTAAATACTTGAGTAATTTTTACAATGCCATTATTTATGTATAACGTAATGTGTATATGGACAAAATAAAAAGAAACAAGAATATGCACTTTTGATTCTATATAGGCATTACAGATTCTCAGTCAGTTTGCAAATATAAATTGTAAAAACAACCTGTTTTATGTTTTCATGATTTATCAGTTCCATCAAAAAGTATGCCATGCACACATTGTCAATAAAATATTTGTATTAAATAAAGATTTTTGTGGTGATCTCAAGTGCTTTTACTTGGGCTATGGATTAGTTTGGACCTGCAGGTTCATGACTCTTCACTTTGATCAGTTTGGTAAAACAAACATTGTTAGGCGCTGAGTGGAGGGTGAAGTAAGGTGGGCTAACTTCCATTTAACAGCACTAATGATATTACAATATTTTGTCTGTGCTAGTTAAATGACATCCTTTATACACTCAGATGTGAAATTCATATTTTTATTGGGGTTTTGTGTGTGTGTGTGTGTCAGACAAAATTCTGGCTGTTTGAGAAAGTAATCAGTCAAAATGTCCATTTTCTTCAGCTGCATCTCAGTCAGCTAGTGGAGTCATGTGCTAGCAGGTGGTGGTATTGTATATTTGGTTCAGATCATTACACCTCTCTATTCAAGCTTGGCCTTGAGCAGAGACAGCCTCTCTGGACTCTTTAGTTGTTTATTTATCTTACAAAGTTACTCATGGTTGGTGGATTTATAGGACCTACACACGTAGCCAGTATTATAATTTGAATATAATATAATAATGACTAAAAAAAAAAAACATTTGCGAGCATTGTGATTGGTTAGCTGTGGCTGGGTGTGTTTCCTCCTAAAAGTTTCTAATTCCAGTGGAAATTGTTGATAAGTAAAAACAAGATATTGAGAAAAATGAAGAAATGCTCCGCTATCATCTTCTTTTTGGTATCACACCTCTAACAAAGCCATCTTCCCTGCAGTTCCCACTCTCTAGACAGTGATCAACAGAATGAGAACACAACAAGTGCATGGCCTCAGCCTCATTTTCAGTAATAACACAAGGCTAAATGGAAGTTATCTGGTGTAAGTACAGTTCTTAAAGTATGTGCCCAGCTCACCACCATGTGTGTCATAAAGCAAATGAAAGGATGCTACTACAGTTACTGTGTGGAATATAATTAAAGCACATACCTCCTGGTTATGTGTAATACACTTAGTTTTGGTGCTGCTATCAAATAGTCAAATCTAACACCCACTTTATCAAGTAAAACCTAACTGTAAGTCGTGATAACATCTGAGCTGAGGAGGACTTACAGATGCTGATAAAAGCCAGTACAGACTGTTCAAACTTTGTAAAACATAATCAAGTTTTAATGTTCTTGGCAGTAAAAGGGACCAGCAGCAATGGAAAACAGTAAAAAGCATCAGTGGTAAGAAAATAAAGTGCATAACTGAGAGATTACACAACAAACCGCAGCAGGGCACTAGGGCCCAGAGCAACTGTGGTAGGAGAAAGTTCTATTTATAGGTTAATGGCATTTTTCTTTGAGTCTTTCAACAACACAATTATTATGGAAACTCATATTTGGAGTTTAAATAGGTTGAATAGCAACAACAGTGAGATGAAAAATCAATGTAATCAGTAGAAGACATTAAAAAGCTATAACTTTACTTGAGATGTGTGTTTAAGGAGCAGCAGCAGGCAGTTCGGCATTTTTGCTTTGACCCTGAACCTCTGCCGGCTGCTTGCTGAAACCTGTAATTAACTTTAGCTTGAAAAGTAAAGGAGGGCTGAATACAAAGTTGCAGCATTCCTGAGGAAAAATGAAGCACTATAGCATTAACAAGTCGCTCCAGTGGTACAGTATGGACCAGGTTGCACTCTGAACTTAAGACAGATCCATCCATCATCTATACCGCTTATCCTGAAAATGGTCATGGGGGTTTGGAGCTAATCCCAGTTGACAATGGGTGAGAGGTGGGGTACACCCCAGACAGGTCACCAGTCTATCACAGAGCTGACAGAGACAGACAATCACACCCACGCACCTCCACGGGCAATTTAGTCATCAGTCAATCTAAGCCGCATGACTTTGGACTGTGGGAGGAAGCCGGAGCACTCGGAGGGAACATGCAGACTCCACACAAAGTGGCACCGGGTCAGCCAGGGCTCAAATACAGACCCTTCTTGCTGTGAAGTGCCAGTGCTAACCACTACGCCACCATGCCTTAGATGTTATAGCGTTTTCCACACAAAGGAAGTCATATTTATGTACTGGAAATACGTTTTATAATAGCACTGGGCTCCCTGCACACACACAAACACACAATTTCAATCAAATCTCCTCTCTGCAAAGTGTGGGATTTGTGGTCAGGATACAATGGAAGGATTCAGAGGAGGGGCTGGGCTGGGAGAGTTGCTGTTGGCAGGACTAGTCCAGAAACCTTACAATGTTTCTTTTCCATCCCTTTTCTGGTTTTCTCAACTGAAAACACCCCTGCCCAGTCCCCTGGCTTAATTGTTTTCGTTTGTCAGGATTCAGAGTCATGAAGACGGTGAAATGGATCCCAGACAATGAGCAGTAGAGGAGGGTTTCTGGCTCTCGCCTTCAGAACTGCAGTGTGTGCTGACCTTACCGTGAACTGAACGGAGAATGGGCAAATCTTGCCGCTGGCTCCTGCACTCCACCCTTTCACTGTATAATTATCCCTGTCCAGATTATGATGTTGTAATTATGTAAATGAACACATCAGAGGGGGGTAATTAATGGAGGACAGTTTATGTTTTTGCTACAAACAAGATGAGTGATCGCTTACAGGACCACACAAGTGTGTTTACAAGTTTAGCTCTTTAATTTCAAATCATATATACTTTTAAATTTGCTTGTTTTTCACTATTTTCAAATTCATGGTGCTTGTGGTTCCCAACATGTGGGTTTGGGCCTTGTGAAGGGCTTCACGTTAAATCATATTGTATCAAAATGAGTAGAAATTGTGAAAAATGAGATACCAGTTGACTTTGTCCATCCTCACTCCACCATCATCTAAGATGGTATCTTCCAGCTTCTGATTGAATGAACACACCTGATCCAGGTAATCAGCAGTGGGTAGTGCAGGGATAACTAGAAAACAAGCAGGGCAGTGGCCCTCAGGGACCAGGATTGGCCACCCCTGGTCTATACCCTCCTTCCCAAACAAATGTTTGGTGTTCTTCCTTCTGAAAGTGCATCTAAAGCAAAATGTTGGTATTATTATCAACCTAGCATTGTCACGATTTTACCTTTGTATTGAACTTCAGCATTTGAGCATTTTACTGACCTGTCAGATTTACTCATTAGCTAATGTTACATGAGCGTTGAACTGGATGCTGCAAGCCATACAGTTTGTCGCAACCAGGCTTCTGTATTTTAAATCTTTACTAGGAAACATGACAGGATCAGACTTGCCAAGAGTGGTTAGGAGTCGACTTGTTTTGAGGCTCACTAGCCCCTCTAGCCACCGAAAAGAAATTAGGTAGCTTTAAATTACTGAAATCAAAAAAGTATCCAATATTTCACAAAAAGAAGATTACAGAAAGGAACATACATCAAGACAAATTTATATTGCACCAAGGTTTTCGTTATTATTTTTTAACACATTAGAATAATCCAAATAAAGCATCTGGGTAATTCTTCGACCATGGCACCTTACAAAGCAAATCACCAAATCAGACTATATAAAAATTTCCCCAAGGTCAAAATCCACGCTCTTTCTCCCCTCATCATCTTGACAGTGTTTTGTCACTTTACAGCTCAGAGTGCATGTGAATCGATACCTCAGCTGTTAGCGAGCCCTCTTGTGTGAAACCACAGACATCTCCTCACTGTCTTGTTGCTGATTGCACATCACTGTTTATTATAAATGTCATCCTCACAAACAAAGACTGATGACAGACAAATTGCCTCTCCCTAACCCTACACCAGGAAAAAACAATAGGCAATTTGTTAAGGAAAAATGCTTTTTAGCCACATATAATCCAGGATAACTGGTGCGGTTCCTGGAAAATGCAAAATTTCAGACAGATTTCAGCAAGAAACAAATACCTTACCACAAAGAGTAAACAGGTAATGACACAGAGGTTAAAGCTGTTTCAAGAAGCCTCTGTGACTTGCTGCCCAAAGCACTAAGTCAGTTATATCTCATCAGTAATTTTAATACCAATATAGATTTTTGTCAGAGTTCTATGGGTGCACACTAAGCTCAGCCTCACTGATCTTCCCTGTGAAAGCAGTGTGTCTGTATGGTGTCTGTCTTTGGACAAAAATGGTGTAAAGTCAGTAAGTTTGTTCAGGAGCTGGTAGAGACCAAAAAGAGTATGAGTAGCACAATGTTGTTTTGTAACCGCTGGATGTGAAAATAAGCAGCCATTTGCTCACAAGTTTGGGATGATATCATGTCAAAGTGTTTTTTTTTCACTGCCCCCAAATGGAAAAAAATGAAAAATTAATTATTACTCTTTTTGTTGTGCTATGTTCATCATTACCATGTGAAACCAGATACAATAATATTGCATCAATGCTAACATTAATACAATATTTACAGCCGTTCTGCCAATGGTTTGTTGATGTCTGTGGTTCTTTACATCAAGGGGGAGATTTCTTCAGTATTAGAAACTGATGAAGACTCAGAATTGCAAGTTGAAGGCTGGCGTGAAGGGTTTTTCCTACTTAACAGCGTTTAATCATGGTCTAAATGATATAATGTGAACACAAATACCTGGTATTTATTCTGTGCTGATGTAGACTGAATGGTAATCTAATCTGGGAGCTGTAACCAGCAAATTATTTGTAATTTTACTTGATAAATGACTAATTGATTCTAAAGGTTATCAACAGTTTTCTGCTCATCAAAACATTGACTAATTGACTGACAGACAGACTTTCATCAGCAGAGTTTCAGTG